GGAAGTCGGCGGCGAAGTACTGTTTGAGTGGTTCCTCAAGAGGTTGCCGGAGGAAGTCATCCCAATATTGGGGTCGAGTCCGGCCGACGGACTTCAGGTACGCCTCCTCTTGTTCCTGACCACAGACGAGACAATCAACGGATCAGTTAAAGTGATAATTAATAGACAATTGTCTCGTGTTATGCATTACTTGAGTGATGTATGGTTTGGACAGGTATTTCATGACCTGCTCCTCGTGTTTCAGTTTCGTATAGAGAGATAACTTCTTACCGGTGGTCACTTTGGGCACATACCGGTGCTTTCTGGACATATACGCAAACAGACCATGGTCATTACGGGGAGACAATCATGTGATTTAAGGTCAAATGAGATAATTCATACCCTTTCTCGACATTACCCCTGAATTTGGGGATATATCCCACAAACTCCGGCCTAAATGAGCGCAATATATGTGTGAATCTCATCGCTATTCAAACCATTCACTCAATGATTGGATTTTAAATTAAGTTTAAATTACTTTTTAATCATATTTTTGACGGCATTTCACACATTGTTTACGATTGAGAGTCACATTGAATGACACAAATGATGTCCATTTAGTGGATATTCTAGTTTTGTTACATAAACTAACTGGCTCATTAATTTACTTTAAATAGTGTACTGGATACAATTAAGCATGCAACTTAAATATGATTAAAATGTGTGTAAACTTTATAAAACGAGTCAATTACGAGATATTGATTGAAATAATGTGTATATAATTGTAGTCAATATTTGTGTACATTTTTGGCGCAAATATTCATTCAAACGACTGATTGAATGAAAACAAACCAAACGTTGGATTAATTGTGCCATAAATCGGATCCAATCGGTGATCATAAGACGAAATGAAGTGCAAAATCGTCGGACAGAATCTGAAGGGTATGTCCAAGAGGTTGCCATAAGACATGATAATTACAGTCACGTGTTTGATAGCCTTCTCCAAAGCGATTCGTGTCTTCGCGAAGATCTCCTCCGAAGTGCTCATTAATGTCGACAATCGCTCGGTTTGTATTGCCATTCATTGTCACCAATTGATGGCAACTCA